TCAAAATCACTTTTAACATCATATTGTAACTATCAGGTTATTTGGTGCCAGACCACAGCACTGTTACACACACACACACACACACACACACACACAATCCTTTCCTGGAAAGCTTAAACTGTGAATGAAAAATACAGTTTTGCATCAAAACCAAATCAAGTGAATAGAATCAATTATCCTCTTGGGTCCCATTTCTTTTTTCCTTTTCAAAGCTTGATTTCCATTGCGTTCATAGACCAGATTCCACAGGCATCCCCATGGGGGCCCACCTGAGCCCAAACTATGAATATATTGTAGAAGATTAACCCCAGCATTGGTTTTTCTTTTTCCCCTCAAACAAAAAACTGGCCAACGAGTTTCAAAGAAAACAAAATTGCTTCGTGATTTTATCTGGGATTCATCACATTTTTTTTTTTTTATGAGAGTCCCCCCTCCCCCATGCAAGGGTTCCCAAAAGATCAGTTGAACAAGAGACAAATAACCAGGCAAGATAGTCCTTAATAAGATCCTTAAAAATTATCTTTAATTGATGCCAAATATGAACAGATCATAAAGTGACAGAAGCAAGTAAAATTGCATAGATGAAAACTATGCGCTTCAATTAGGTTCTCAATCCCTAACATTCAACGTCCTCTACCTGACGAGTTCAACAGTAAGGGCAGGGGAAATGCACAGTGGGCGAAAACGAGACATCCTTAACTCAAGATGGAAGCAACTGGCAAACTCAAGGAATGAAATAGTGTTTTGTCAGCGTCAATGGTTTGTTGTCCTGATGGTGCACTTTACACTAATACTAGTCAATTTTTATTTTGAACCTTAGTAATCTTGCCTTTCATATTCGAGGTATGTCATAGAAGGTTCTGGCTGTCTCCTTACAGCGGCTGCAGAAACGGTTCCAAAACAGTGCACTGAAGGGAAGAAAGTCCCTTCCACAGGTTTCAGAGAGGATATAACTTTGGACTTGGACTATTCCGCAAAGGGTTTCGTGTTTTTTGTTTGGCTGCCTTACGCCATTTCTTCCTCTTATTTGATTACAAAACTTTTCTATACTCTTGGAAATCTCTTGTCATAAAAAGTCAACTCCTAGTGGGCTCCTAAATGAAAATCACTGTGACGAGCGCTCATCTCCTTAAAGCTAAGAGTCCTGAGCTCAGCAGGGGCCCCCTCCTTACTTAAACACTAAGCTTCCAAGGGCCTGGCTCTCAATCAAGACTTCTAAACCTAACACCTACACTACACCCTGAATCAGTTCACACAGTGACCAAGGTAATGGAATGGTTTTAGTTAACAACTCAGCCTCTGTTCGCTTTGTTACAAAAATGGTAAGTAATGTACATTCTTCTAAGGTTTACCTGAGTCATGCTGGACACGGTCGCATATACCCTGAAATTCCACGGGAGAAATACAAATATGAGTACAGCAGATGAGAGGCCACCTCCTGAGATCAGAATCAAGTTGGGTTGTGTTTGGTTGAAAATTTTAGTTGATTTGTCGTCTTGAAATGAACACACACACATCAAAAGATTTCATTCTTTCTTGAGAAAGCGGGAAGATAAAATGACTGCTTAGGAGTTTACATTCTTTCTAACAATTTTATACTATGGATGGTTACCACCCACCAATTCTCACCACTCCCAGGAATAAGTCGTTCCTGGAAGAAAATGGGGAATTGCCTTCTGCTGAAATTCTCTTTCTACTTTCTGTTCAACCCAATCTACCAACAAAGGAATTCAATTGTAATGTTGTTTTTTTTTTTTTTTTTTTTTTAAAAAAAATCCTTGGGTTTTGAGGTCTCCTTTATTAGGAAACAGTTTTTCCTGACTCTTCAGATGTTAGCTAATGGGAAAAGTCTCTACCTACACACGTGTGAAGAAGGCCCTCGATGGACTAAACCCAACTTCTACTTCAAGAAATCCTTCCTCACTTACCATTTACATGCATCATTGTGAATTCTCAAATGAGTCAAGTCTTACGACGTCACTTGTGCTTTGGTTCCACCGGCGTGGAGTCAAAACCTACCACATCCTTTCCTTTTAGAGAAATGACTGTCCGCCAGACAAATTCCAGGGGAAGAATTTGCTACTAGTTTATTTGACTTTGCTAGGCTAACTCACTACCAACGCTCCCAATGAACTGTTCGAACTGAATCAGAACTCAACTCTCAAGGGGAGCAAGGGAGGGCTGTGCACAGATGGGGAAGAGGAGATGCAAAAACCAAACCTTTCCTGGCTGCAATCTGTCTTCTAGAAATCTGAGGACAGAGGAAAATTAATGTCTTTGGTCTCTCTAATTCAGATTACTTGAGGTGAGTTAACCACTTCAGAGATTCTGGGATGGCTAACAGCCCTGGTGCGACCCAGCCCTTCCACTGCCACCCTATTGAACTAGGGCCCCAACACATGGAAGAGCTGAGTCATGGCTATCAGCATGTCAGAAGTCTTCTCCTTCTGGAGAAAACAAGTATTAAGGACAGGAGCCATGAGAGCTCAAGGCCTAAGAAGGGGATGGAAAGGTAAAAAGCCCAATAAAAGAAATATAAGTAAACCAAAAGATAGTCATTCCTTAATAGGCAGTTTTGTAAGTGCACCTTCAGGTCTACAAAAACATTTCAGCACATTGCAGTGCAAGGGGTAGGAGCTTCGTCAAGCTCTGCATGCCTATGCTACACGGAGAGTCCCTGGACTCCAATCTCATGACTTGTTTGCAATGAGCTTCAGATGGATAAGCAGCATTCATTTCCCCCATACCACTCAAATCCATAACAACAACACATCCCCAGTCCCAGGCTGACAGGCTCCCTGCATGCAGCAATTTTTTTTTTTTTCCTGTAACACATGCAGAAGAATCCAGCCCACCCCGCATGGCGCTACAAGAGGAGAGGTATACCAGTTAGCCAGAGTCAATCTGCTCAGTCTTGGTCCCATTTTCTGATCCTCTGACCCATCCATCCCACAGTACCGAGTGGATTATTGCTGTTGACAGAGCGCAGCGTTTCAAGTTCTGTGTGTCCTAGACCTCAGAGTCTAAATAAAAGACCAGACATTCCCAGAGATTTGGGGGAGGTTGGCATTTTTTCCCAAGTGGGGACTTTTAAGCAGGGAGGAGAGGAATAACCAGGATGAGTCAAAGTTCAAAGGAGAAGGAAACGCCACAGGGCAGGTCGAATGCCCTGTGGTCAGATACGGTGCAAACCTTGACCTTCACCTTCCACAATGTGTTACATTCATCTTACAGAGTCACAGAAACCACACAAGCAAAGAAGATAGCCATGTTCTTTCTTGCAATGGAGAGTCAAGCCAGCCTGGGTGTAAATCTAGTTTCTTGGTTTATTGCCTCACTGCGAGTGCTAGAAGAGGGTGGGAGAAGGGATGGAAGTAACAGATTTCCAGAAGAAGCAAGGCAGGGATGTAAGGTGGTCAGCAGCAGGTGGCCACATGCTCAGTGCGGAATGAAGGTCACCACCTTGGTGTCCTCAAAAAGGCTGTGCGTGCCTCTCTACTGGCGGACAGCTGCTGGCCCCAGAGGCCTGTGTTATGATAGTTCTCTTTCAACTAAGCACAGAGTCCCCACTGTTCTCCAGGCTGGTAGCAGGCAAGGAAGGGCGACAGCAGTAAGATGCTCAGCCTGTCAAATGACCTCTGGGGGTGGGGGGAAGTTCCTCAGAGCTCACAGGAAAACCTGAAGGAGCGGGCCAGGAAGACAGGCTTAGGAGAGGCCGCGAACTGGGTGTTCTCATGTCCACAATGATGGCTGTAAAGATCCGAGATTTGCAAAGCACTGCTGCTAGCAGAGGAATAGGGAAATGTGGCAGGACCACCTCACTGGACCTGAGGAAGCCCTGCAAGTCTGGGGTGGCCCTGCAGAGGAAACAAATTCCCCCAACAGTTTATCTTGGCTTCTGGTGGAGGAGAGGATAAGACCCAGTTCACAGTTCACGTCCACGGTGAAGACGGGTCTCAGGTCCCCAGGTTACATCCTGCAAAGGGACCAAGTCCGGTGGAAGCCAGAAAGGCAGCACCCTCCTGGATCTCTCCCCTCTCTCCGGGGTTTGGGGTGGCGTGGTCTTCTCACAGTGGTGAAGTGAGACAAGGGGAGGGTGGAAAAAGAAAAAGCAAAGTATCTGTGCCCCAACCCTTCCTCCCTTTTGTTACATAACTTCTCAGCTGTGTTAATGGAGGCACTTTCTGCAGCTCGCTGTGGGTACAGGATAAAGGCACTAAGCAACTATTAAATCAATTGGTTGAGTTTCTTCAGGGAGCCTCAAGGGGGAGGGCCGAGGTCTCTACAGACCTCAAATTATGACTGCAAAAAGAAATCAGCTCTGCTTTGGATGCATACAATAGATAAACAATTTCATTAACATCCTAAGAATGCACCAATAAACATGCAGTATTGCACCTTTTTTTTTGTTTGTGTGTTTGTTTTGCTTGTGTTTATCTTCAGCTAAAAAGAATACTTGTTCTTAGGTGTTAGTTACTATATATACCTTGGTGACTTATTTAGTTTTCCATAAAGCTTCCCTTTAAGGGATGGGCATATTGGTCCTCTCTCTGCCTACACCTGCACAGAAACCTGACATTTCCCTGAGCAAAGGCAGGAAAATTGACTGAGTGCCCCCCACCCCCACCCCCCCTTTATTTCTTTTGGGCTTATCATCCCACAAACTTGTAATTTTTTATTCTTTTTAATTTTTTTTACTGAAATCATGCATTAATTAATTCAAGGTACACCTTAATCAAATAGGCCATAATGCTGAATAAGAGAACATGCTTTGAGTTCCAAAAAGTTATTTTTCCCATCTGACTAACATATGCACTTAAATACAGTACTTTATTTACTAATAAAATAGTTATTAAATGAAGGAGTGCACTTTTGGTGAATGCAAATGAAAAAGGATCTATTTTTAGAAGAGTCAATTCCAAAGTAAGCTTATCCCCTATTGTCTGAGTTAACGTTCTCAGCATGCGATTATAAAATAAATATCAGATTCAAACATGCTTACATTTAACTCCATTTGTGCTCTCTTGCAATAAGGAGGCTAAAGTTTTACATCCAGTTCTGGAGGCCAGGAGTCAGGGTGCAGGGCAGGTAAGAAAAGACCTGTATTTAACTCATCTACAGTCGAGAAATTTAGCAGCACTGCAGATGACTCAATTAACTTCATTCAGTTATTTTTTTTCTTAGAGAATAGTTTGGATTAGAAGGGGCTTGTGGCAGAGGGCAAACCCCTACAAGACCAGGACCAGTGTCAGATTTGTAAGGTGCTTTGTGAACCAGTCTTATGTAATTTGGGTTGTTTTTTTTTTTTCACCTTGTAATATGCAGTTCGATTGATCAAAATAGAAACATTTGTTCATTTCCCCTTTTGGCTGGTATGTCATGATACATATAATACATCGGATGCACTGTCTAAAAGGTTCTGTGCAGTTAGTAAAGATTTTAAGTGGAAGTCCCATGCAAATTTTAAATTTATATTTCTAAGTGATCATCTGACTTTTAGTTAAAAGAAAAAAAGTTAAAGAAGCCCGGGATTAAAAAGGTTTCAGTATAGGGACGCAGATGAATCTTATTTTACCTAGACTAGCTCATGAACTGAATTTCATTTTAATCAGCTTTAGAAAATACACTTTCTTTTCCCCCTTTTTTTTTTTTTAAATAAAACAAAAATAGTTCCTTTTTTTCAGGTACATCTTGAAAGTTTCTGCTTTGCCACCCACAAAATCCGCAATGCAACAATGCATTGACAGTTAAATAGAGCATTCAAAGACTATTTAGTATTTACAAAGTGTGACCTGGGTCACTGGGGTTTTGTTTAATATTTTAAGTCTTTCACGCTGCTAAGTGGGCCTCTTTTGTTTGCTTGCTTTTTACACATCGGTCAGTAGCTTGCTCTTATTAACACAGTTTTGGTTAGCTGTGGTGCAATTGCCAGTTCTGATATTGGCCTGTCTATAATGGGCTATGCTATTATTCATATCCTCTTCGATCTCCATGTACTCAGATTTGCTGATAGTAGAGGAACTGCGCCGACTGAGGTCACTGTCAGAAGCTAAATTAGGGGAGCTAACGTGGAGCAACTGAGCCTGCTCTTCCCCCTCAGTTTCTCGGTGGTAGAAATAGTTGAAATTGGACACAATGACAGGTACGGGCAGGGCAATTGTCAGCACACCGGCGATGGCGCACAAGGAGCCCACGATCTTGCCTCCAATTGTCACAGGGTACATGTCACCGTATCCCACAGTGGTCATGGACACCACCGCCCACCAGAAAGCATCGGGGATGCTGGAGAAGTGCGACTCAGCTTCTTCCGCCTCGGCAAAGTACACTGCGCTAGAAAATAGGATGACCCCGATGAAGAGGAAAAAAATGAGCAGCCCTAACTCCCTCATGCTAGCCTTGAGGGTCTGGCCCAGGATTTGGAGGCCCTTGGAGTGGCGGGAGAGTTTGAAGATTCTAAAAACCCTGACCAAGCGGATGACCCTGAGGATGGCCAGCGAGGTGGCCTGCTCACCCTTCTGGTTGCCTTCCTGCTCTGCGATCTCGGTGCCCAGGGTGATGAAGTAGGGGATGATGGCCACGATGTCGATGAAGTTCATGATGTTTTTGAAGAAGTCCGTCTTGCTGGGGCAGGCGAAGAAGCGCACCACCAGCTCGAAGGAGAACCAGATGATGCACAGGGTCTCCACGATGAAGAACGGGTCCGTGAAGATGTTGGAGGTGTAGACGACCGTGGTGTTGTCAATCCGGTGGAGGGTGCCCGTGAAGTCCTTGTCGTCTTTCAGCTCCGGGAGGGTCTCCAGGCAAAAGATGACGATGGAGATGAGGATGACCATGACCGAGACGATGGCGATGACCCGGGCGGGCCCCGAGCTCTCGGGGTACTCGAAGAGCAGCCACACCTGGCGCTGGTATTCCTTCTCGGGCAGGGGGCGCTCCTCTTCTTTGATGAAGCCCTCGTCCTCCCGGAATTTCTCCATGGCCTCCTCCCCCAGCTCATAGAATTTGATCTCCTCGGAGAACATGTCCAGGGGCACGTTGACCGGCCTCCGCAGCCGCCCCCCCGACTGGTAGTAGTACAGGATGGCGTCGAAGCTGGGCCGGTTGCGGTCGAAGAAGTACTCGTTGCGCAGGGGGTCGAAGTAGCGCATGCGCTTCTTGGGGTTGCCCAGCAGCGTGTTGGGGAACTGCGCCAGGGTCTTGAGCTGCGTCTCGAAGCGCAGCCCGGAGATGTTGATGACCACGCGCTCGCAGCACTCGTGGTCGTCGTGGTCGGCCGGCCGCGGGTAGCTGCCCTCCTGCGTGTGGCCCGGGGCGGCCGACGCCTCGTCCACGTTCTCCCCGGACATCACCGTCATGATGGAAGCCCGGTGCAGGGGGGTGAGGCCAGAAGCGGACCCGGGGCGGGAAGGAGCTAGGGAACAGGGGTGGGGGGGACCCCAGCGCCCCCCCCACCAGAGCGCGCGTCGGCCCCGCGCTCAGGGGGAGGGGCTTCGAAGCGCGGCGATCCGGGGATCTGCGGCTTCGCTCGGGGTTACCTTCCCCTCCACCCTGCCTGAGCCTCAGCTCGGACGCCCCCTGGCCTGCGGCCCGGGACGGGGCTTTTTGCCCAGGGTGGGGGCTGGAGCTGGGGAGCCGGTGCTTCCTCCTGCTCCGAGGCGCCTTAACGCAGTGCCTTTCTAGGGGACGAGGCCATGGCTTCGGGGGTTACCCTGGCCTGCCCCCCTCCGTGAGCCCGCCTAGGACCGGGTGCAGAGCCAGCTCAGCAGATCCCCTCGCCTGCCACCCCCTCTGCTTCTCGGCTCTCCCCCCCTCCTACCCCTCTTCGCCTGCTGCCTTCTAAGCTCCCACCGGGGCGATCGATGGACGCTGCAGAGAAATAGAAAGTGATACGGGAGTAGAAAATCAGAAGCGTTCAGATGGGACGGACCCACAGACACCGAAGAGCACAGACCTCCAGCTTTTTTTTTTTTTTTTTTTAAAGCACTGGACTTTTGCTAGCGTTATTACACACACAAACACACACACACAGAGAGACACAGGCAGACACCTGGAAATCCAAGTTTGGGGCTCTTCCACCCCACTTTCCCCAATGCCCAACAGCCGATCTGTTGACAACTTCGTTCAACTAGAGATCGGGAGAAGAGCCTGCAGGCGCTGGGGGTTCCAGGTCCCAGCAGCACCCCCACACCCCAGCACCCCCCACCCGCCCGCCCCAACCCCCACTTCTGCAGCCCCGAACTGGGGAGCCCCCTACCTGGCCGGCCGGCTTGGCGCAGGGCGGCGCTGAGCCGCGGAGCTCCGGGGCGGGACTGCGGCAGGTCGCCTTCGCGGTGCCCGGCGCGAGCCGCGGCCGCAGCCGCAGCCGAGAGGCGCCGGGGCGCACGGTCCGCCCTCGCCCCCTCGTCCTGCGCCCCTTCAGCTGGACAGTCGCTCGGCGGAGCCGCTCCGGCGGAGATGCCCGCTCCCCACCCCCATTCTCGCCCGGCGCCGCAACCCGGAGCCGCGGTCCTCTGCCTGGTGCAGGGAGTTCCGGAGGATGCGGGCGGAAAGCGAAATGCCACCCTCTCCCGAAGCTCGAAGCAAATGACGATAAACAGCGCTCTCGCCCCCTCCGCACTGTGAGAACCCTCGGTTCGATCCCGAAGGAGGCGGGCGAGCGAAAGCCTGGATCTACATGGCGCTCGGGGCTCCCCGCTGCCCGCCGGGACGCCGGCCTGGACCCCGCCGGGGCTTCGCGGCGCGCCGGGAGCGGCTAGGAGCGCCGAGTGGGGCAGGGTGCTCGCGGCCGCAGGTCCGCCCGGTCCATTTCTGGGCGCTGCAAGATCAGCAGAAACCTGAGAACGCGCCCGGAATGCGCAGCAGCGATTGGCCCACCCGGGCGTGGGCTGGGGAGGGCGGGGGAGGGCAAGAGCGAGGAGGTAGATGGAAAATATGAGGGGGTGGCTTGGCAGAGGGGGGTTGTCATTCAGTTCCCACCCTTGCCAGCACAGCTTTCTCCTCCTCCTGCCAGAAAACCCGACCACTAATTCTATTTCCCCTCTGGCCCGCAGCCCCGCGCACGCACCGTCCCCGGCCGCGACCTTCCCCGAGAATTTCACATTGGAGATGGGCAGGTCCGACGCAATGCAGGCGCGGGTGCTCCTGGCACAACTCCTCGACCGGGTTGCGCTTGTGCAGTCCCGCAGCAATCCGCTTCGGGCGCCTCGCTCGGGGCTCCATCCGCCCCTCCCGCGGGGGGCTCTCGGCAAGGCCCACCCCGCTTCCCCCTCGGGACCCGGCCGAGCTGCAGCCTTCGGGTGGAGCGCTGCAGCGGGGCACCGCCTGGGGGGTGCTAATGCGAAGCAGTGATGCTAAGAGTCTGTCTCTCTTTGACCTGCCCGGGGGACTGAAGTTTCCTCACAATCTGATTCATGTGAAATTCGGAGAATGGGACATGAAGAACCAAAGGCTTCGTGGGCTTTTGGGCTGTCTGCCAACGTGGTGCTAATCGGGGCAAATCTGGGAAGCGAGTCTCCTGCCCCCCACCCACTGAGGTCCCTCCTCCCGGAGCCTCTCTCCCTGGCCTAGCGCCGCCACTCCGCCCGGCCGCTTGCGGGGCTTGCAACTTCGGCAGAGGGTCCGCACCGAGGCGCGGGGCAGCCCGAGCGCGGGGCGTGCGCAGTGCCCCGGGAGTGCGTCTGCAGCCGGGGCGCCAGCCGCTCCGGTACTTCAACTGCAGTGAAGTCTCCCAGGCCCGCGGCGAGCTCCCCGAGTCGCCGCGGATTGGTCCCCCGCTGCACTGGGCCCAGCCCTCAGCCCCGCCGCCGAGCGCTGTGCCTCCGCCCACACCGCCCACCTCTTTCATCAGAGCGGCGATTGTATCCTCCCGGCTCTACTGTGGCAAAGTAGGGGCCTCTGCGGGACTGCCCGGGCAGTGCAACAGTCCTGGAGACGAACTGGTTAAGTCCCTCCCCCACATTCAGACTCCAGCATTCCTTTCAGAAAAATAAAAGTATTTGTTCCCTCCCCTCCTCCAGATCCTTACCTCAGCTTTTCTTTCATGAACAATGAGGTCTGTTACCCGCCTTCCTTTCTGAAATGCTGCCCTTTCCTGCACCTTCCACATGCGTATCCATGTATCCCACTAACTGCACAGTTCCCTAGCTTCTTGCACTACAGCGTGATGGGGTGGGGGGTGGAAAGAGAGAGAGAGAGATGCACTTGCCTTGATTCAGCAGTTGGTAATTGCCTTACTAGAAGAGAATGGCAGACTGAATGGGATGCCAGGTTCCTAAACTCAGGGTTTTGTGATGGAGCATAATGGCATCAGGAGGTTGTCACAATCCCTGGCAGATATGTTAGAGTAGAAGTGAACCTTCAAGGAAATTGGAAGAAAGTTGCTGAACTAGGGACGTGTCATTCTTAATGCCAGCCCATGGTCGCTAAGGGTCTGAAGATGTGCATGCACATCAGCAGCTGTTTGCTCAGCCCCAGCTCTGTGCCAGACATTATTCTAGCACTGGAGACAGGCTAATAACTAAAATGTGTGCAGTCCCAGAACTCAAGGAGCTCAGCTTCAGGTGGGAGAGAGGGGCAATAAACAGACAAAACAGCACATTGTAATAGTAGGTTAAGACTTGCATGGATATCAAGGGCCTCTCTCCAGAGGTGATGTTTGAACAGAGAACTTCAAGAAGAGAGAGGGCAAGGGATAGGAAGGTCCCAAGGGAACTTATAAGGGCAAATGATAAGATCCAACGGCAAAAAGAGCTGAGCATATTTGGGACACAAAAGTGGGTGACTGCACTAGCAGAAAGCTAGCAAGGGAACGCATGGAAAGGAAGTCAGAACTGCAGGCAGGGCCAGGTCACGTAGGGAGGGTCTCTTAGACCACTGAATTCTGAATTGTTTATTATTCTCATTTTATTCTGAGTGCAATGGGAATATATTGGAGGACTGGGTTCCGCGTAGTAATATAATATGATTTACATATTAAAGGTAACCACTGAAAACCACTGGAAACAAGAACAGGCTGGATGTTAAGAACAGGCACAGGCAGTGATGGTTTGTACAGAGAGACCATGGTAGGCTTGTAAGGGTTGCATTTTGAAAATCAAGATGGCAGGATTGGGATGTAAGGAAAAGAAATGTTTCAAGAACATCTCATTAACTAGGTGGGTGGTGATGTCCCTTTACTGAAAGAGAGGATTGATTGGACAGTTTCTCTCCCACCAGAATGTGAGGGCCACAAAGTCTGGGACCTTGTGTTTTTCTTGGTCACAGTTGAGACCGCTCTCTGGAATCTCTCTGCCTCACCATTCTTATTGCTTGTAGGACAGTCAGCTCTGCTAGAAAAAACAGCCCTACCTGCTGAGGTTGACCACACTGCAGTAAGTGGACTCTGGATTCCTGGAGAACGCCCGCCCCCCTCCAAAAGATGCAAGCGAGCAACACAGTGTTATGCATGGGGATGGTCACTCGGTGCACTAGTGAGAGGTTGGCTAATAAGAGATACAGGAGAGGGTGGAGGCTGTAAGTAAATTCCCTCTCCTTTTATTCATTTCAGGGCCAAGCAACCACATGATCTAGACGCAGTATTACATCTCTTTTGTCTCATGACGCAGTGGCCAACTGGGTAAGTCACCACTTCGTATTTGCAGCTCTCCTTCCCCACCTTACTTCCCTTCTCCCCTACTCTCTCTGCCCTGGGATGCACCTTCCGTTCCAAGTTATGGAAGCAACCTTGTGCCCAATGGCAGATGAGTGAATTAAGAAGATGAGATACATATCCCCAATGGCATACTTCTCAGCTATAAAAAAAAAAAGTGAAATATTGCTATTTGCAATAACATGGATGGAACTGGAGGGGACTATATTAAGTGAAATAAGTCAGAAAGGGAAAAAAAATACAGGATGATTTCATTCATGTGGAATATAAAGAAACAAAACAAAGGAACAGTCAGAGGAAACCAAAACAAACCTTAGAGGAAACGACTGTAGAGGTGAGACCACCAGCGGGTGGGGTGTGAGGGGGAGAGGGGAGAGGCGGCCAAGTGCATTAAGTGGGAGGACTGGGTGTCCTGGGGTGACAGGCGTTTGAGAAGGTGTGAGCCTGTGTCTCTAAATCCTGTACAGTGTTGTAAACCAAGTTTACTTCAGTAAAAAATAATACAGTGTAAAAAAACGATTAGCACAGAAACCCTATTTTGGGTTCTGTTTTCTAGAAAACCTAAGCAGAGGCGCAGGGAATCCAGACTTCATTTTGAGACACTTAGGTGTGAACTATCTGGTAGACATCCAAATGAAGGTGTTGAGGATGAAATTGGCAAGTCTACAGTTGAGAGAAGAGAACCGGCTCAGTCTGGGTTTCTTGGCCAGTTCTGACATCTGGGTCACCTACCTTTT